AACCTATTGCAATAAAACGGCAATTTCATACTTTAACCCCTAATATTACATGGAAATTTCTTTGTTGCGGAAATTTGATACCTACTTTCGGTTCCAGGTTTCCGTAACTCAATTATAAATTCTTGGATGCTTATTACAAAAAATAAAAACTAAAACGACGACGTCCCTCTCGTCTCGACGTCTCTACGCCAACTTCGTAGGCAATCAAAAGAAACCGTATATATCTTTAATATTTTCTTCTATTCTTTTGTGTTTCAGGAAGCGTAATTAGGTAGGCAATACATGTAGGCTTTGTATTTAATGTCATTATTAAGTATACCTAAGTCATTTTTTCTTGTTCAACCGACTTCAAAAAAGGAGGAGGTTCTCAATTCGTCTGTATGTTCCTTTTTTTTTGTATGTATGTTACGCGATAACTCCGGTATTTGTGAACCGATTTTCACGATTCTTTTTTTGTTGGAAAGGGGGTACTTCCATAGTGGTCCCATTTCATTTTGAAGAAAATCATCCACCTCTAAGGGTGGCTGTCCACGCATGAAGATTCATTTTTATAAATAGCGCCTAACTTTAATTTAGGAGCAATTACTTTAATGGTTGATTTTGCTATTTCTCCAATTCAAGGCGTTTTTCTCTCAATATACTTTGAGTAGTGAGAACCGATTTTTATGATCTCCTGTGTAAAGTCCTGTATAGTGGCGAACTAGGGGATATTTCAATAAAACTTAGCAAAAAGATGTAATTCTACTTACTTTTGAGGTCGGTTTTTTTAGTAGTCTGTACTGAGATTATTCTATATTCGCTCATTATTCACGGTACATTTTTTACGGTAAGTACTTAATCGTATATTTTTCCTTCTAATTTAAAAATATTTTCTTTTTAACAAAATTGATGAGAAGTTTGTTTTTGACGACATCATCGCCTCGTGTTATTTACTCTGGCTACAAATAAACATCCTGTTTATTTCTCTGTAAAACAGATTTATAATAAAAGAATTCCTCTTAGATTCTTTCAGCGTAATAACAACAGGATTTCCTGTCGCGCTCGTTGTCGTTTCCTTGTTAATTCTTCAATTGAATTTTATTTATTTAGACATTTTTATTTTAGTAAAAGAAAATATTTTAGTGTAGGTATAGTAGTTTTTTTTAATTTTATTTTTTTATTGTGACTCGGCAAAACTGTGCAGTCAGCACCGCGCCTGATGGAAAGTGCGAATACAGTCCAGAGATGAGAGTAACGGATGGAAAACACAAATATCTTCACTCCGTCACTATAATTTTGCCAGTCTGGCCAAATGCTTCTTCACACTACGTTTGAAGGACCCGATGTTATAGAGGGGAGGGAATACATGCGCCGGGAGTTGGTTCCACAATTTGATGGTTCGGCATAAAAACGAATTGCCAAACTTTTTAGTGCGGGACGGTATTGAACTGACCGTCCAACTGTGGCAACGCAGTCCGGCACGGGTGGTCCGCTGATGGAAAGGAGAGGAAGGGATAAGGTTGAATAACTCTTCAGAGCACTCACCGTGGTACAGGCGATAGAATACGCTAAGAGACGCTATATCTCTGCGAAGCTGTAACGACTCCGCATGCTCAGTTACATGAGGATCGTTGACAACACGGAAGGCGTAGCTGGACGGCGCTGCAGTCCATCTAGGGCATCGAGCAAGTACTTGGCAGAGCCGTCCCAAAGGTGCGAACAGTACTCCATGCTGCTTCGGACCTGAGCTTTGTACAACAGGTATCGCAGCTCTGGAGTAAAAAATCGGTGCAATAGTAGTGCTAGGGCGTAACAGTTATTTTGTTAGGGCCTTTGTCTAAGCTACTTATTTGTCTTTATTTAACTGGTGTAAGTTACTGTTGTTTTAGTATTTAATAAAAATAGAACATTAGTGTACTTAATCATCGTATGTTTTACATATACAATACATTCGTAACGTAAGTGCTTTGGGTCACCGCGGTCTTTTGTGCCATTTTTCTTGATTCTTTTTTGTTAGAAAAATTAGACCTCCATAGTGGTCCCATTTCATTTTGAAGAAAATCATCCGCCTCTAAGAGTGGCTGTTCACGCATTAAGATTCATTTTTATAAATAGCGTTTAACTTTAATTTAGGAGCAATTACTTTAATGGTTGATTTTGCTATTTCTCCAATTCAAGGCGTTTTTCTCTGAATATACTTTGAGTAGTGTCGTAGTGAGAACCTATTTTTATTATCTCCAGTGTCAAGTCCTGTATAGTGGCGAACTAGGGGATATTTCAATAAAACTTAGCAAATAGACGTAATTCCACGTACTTTTGAGGTCGGTTTTTTTGAAGTACCAACTACCAGGGCGGCTGATATATTTGTTGTCTTAGATTATTAGATATGAGAGGTTATTGAAATAGTCGAGGTATAAGGG